TTGGACCCATTCTCTTTAATATTTTTATTAGTGATATTGCAGAAGGTCTTGATGGTAAGGTATGTCTTTTTGCTGATGATACTAAGATATGTAACAGGGTTGATGTTCCAGGAGGGATAAGCCAAATGGCAAATGATTTAGGTAAACTAGAAAAATGGTCAGAATTGTGGCAACTGACATTTAATGTGGATAAGTGCAAGATAATGCATCTTGGACGTAAAAACCCAAGGGCAGAGTACAGAATATTTGATAGAGTCCTAACCTCAACATATGAGGAAAGGGATTTAGGGGTGATTATTTCTGATGACTTAAAGGTAGGCAGACAATGTAATAGAGCAGCAGGAAATGCTAGCAGAATGCTTGGTTGTATAGGGAGAGGTATTAGCAGTAGAAAGAGGGAAGTGCTCATGCCATTGTACATAACACTGGTGAGACCTCACTTGGAGTATTGTACACAGTACTGGAGACCGTATCTTCAGAAGGATATTGATACCTTAGAGAGGGTTCAGAGAAGGGCTACTAAACTGGTTCATGGATTGCGGGATAAAACTTACCAGGAAAGGTTAAAGGATCTTAACATGTATAGCTTGGAGGAAAGACGAGACAGGGGGGATATGATAGAAACATTTAAATATATAAAGGGAATCAACACAGTAAAGGAGGAGACTATATTTAAAAGAAGAAAAACTACCACAACAAGAGGACATAGTCTTAAATTAGAGGGACAAAGGTTTAAAAATAATATCAGGAAGTATTACTTACTGAGAGGGTAGTGGATGCATGGAATAGCCTTCCAGCTGAAGTGGTAGAGGTTAACACAGTAAAGGAGTTTAAGCATGCGTGGGATAGGCATAAGGCTATCCTAACTATAAGATAAGACTAGGGACTAATGAAGGTATTTAGAAAATTGGGCAGACTAGATGGGCCGAATGGTTCTTATCTGCCGTCACATTCTATGTTTCTATAAACCCATGATAGAATTGAGCCTTCATTCAACACTCATGTATATCTAAAGTAATCAGGCAAATATACTGTGCATTCTGACTGACGCAAATTTGTAATCAGTTGTGATACATTTTAAATGCGCAATTAGTAAACTCAAGGAGTGGAGATTAGACTTGTGCAAGGTGAAAAAGATATTTTCTGAACACTCAAATTTCGACCATACCAGCCCTTCCTCTTCAAACTATTATCCATGGAACCCAAAACAATGGTTCCTTTTTTTTTTCTCAATTGTATTTTATTGAAGGTTTTCACCAGTATAAATCCAGTACACAGTTACATCACATTGATCACTAACAGACATACATACATTTGATGTATAATTGACTGTATACTATTAACAACTGGTACCTATTCACAACTTTGAGCGGTAGTTACATTGCATTGATCCCTTCAGTGAACTCTATGTGCACGATATATAACAAACCTAACAAAGGTATATACACAAACAGACGTGCAGGTAAGACCTTTTGCATTTGAGTCAGGTATTTCCCATATCCTCCATTCCCTTCGTGACAGGGCAAGTCCCCCCCATTTGCGGTTATGGGCTATTCGCGACTTCATCTCCCCTCTCTTCTCCCCCTTACTGCCTGAGGTGTCTCCCTCTTAATACCAGGTCACCCATCTCCTCCACGTCTCCCTGAACTTTGCTGTGGCTTTTGCTGTATCTGTGAACAGCTTTTCGTATATATAGTACTGCTGTATTTTGTCTTTCAGCTGTTGTATATATGGGCAACTATGTTTTTTCCAATTTAGTGCTATCAGGTTGCGTGCGGCCATTAAGACTATTAGAATCAGCTGTTTACGGTTATGTTATTCTGGGATTTTCTGCACCATTAGTTCTCTCTTTCTGTTGCATATATGGCTGCCAAGAATACTCTGATCTGACCCCATTCCAGAGGAACTGCCCTGACTCTTTGAGGTTTCATCTTCCAGCAAGTCTTACCATTTGGATTCACATTTGACCTTTCTTTTGCTTTTTATTTGTTTGTCCATATATATACAGTTGCAAGAAAAAGTATGTGAACCCTTTGGAATGATATGGATTTCTGCACAAATTGGTTATAAAATGTGATCTGATCATCATCTGAGTCACAATAGACAATCACAGTCTGCTCAAACTAATAACACACAAAGAATGAAATGTTGCCATGTTTTTATTGAACACACCATGTAAGCATTCACAGTGCAGGTGGAAAAAGTATGTGAACCCTTGGATTTAATAACTGGTTGAACCTCCTTTGGCAGCAATAACTTCAACCAAACGTTTCCTGTAGTTGCAGATCAGACGTGCACAACGGTCAGGAGTAATTCTTGACCATTCCTCTTTACAGAACGATTTCAGTTCAGCAATATTCTTGGGATGTCTGGTGTGAATCGCTTTTTTGAGGTCATGCCACAACATCTCAATCGGGTTGAGGTCAGGACTCTGACTGGGCCACTTCAGAAGGCGTATTTTCTTCTGTTTAAGCCATTCTGTTGTTGATTTACTTCTATGCTTTGGGTCATTGTCCTGTTGCAACACCCATCTTCTTTTGAGCTTCAGCTGGTAGACAGATGACCTTAAGTTCTCCTGCAAAATGTCTTGATAAACTTGGGAATTCATTTTTCCTTCGATGATAGCAATCCGTCCAGGCCCTGACGCAGCAAAGCAGCCCCAAACCATGATGCCCCCACCGCAATACTTCACAGGTTTAATTTGTGCAGAAATCCATATCATTCCAAAGGGTTCACATACTTTTTCTTGCAACTGTATGTATATATATATATATATATATTTTTTTTTTTTATAAATACATCTTATAGAAAATCTCTGTTTTTATAATTTCTCGTGCAACCTTTATCTTCCCTGTTTCACTCATCTCTGTTGTTTATAAAGCTTAGAGGAAGCTTTATAAACATACATACATTTAGTTCGGTATATTAGCGCTGATCCTTTTTTATCCTTTTGTCTAACTACTATTTACACATGCTGGTTCAGCATCATGGATTAGAGCATGTTTCTATCAACATTCTGATGTCCAAGCTGATTTATGATGAAAAGCAATGCTTCACTAATAAAACACAGAAATTAGATCTCTGCTAAAACTCTCTCTACTGCTGAGTAGAAGCAATGGCTATAGTAATACATTTTTCATATGTGGACAGAATCATGTGTGACAAACCTGTCAAAACACAAGACATTTTAATCAAAACAATAGGTGTTGATATTCCTTTTTTATGAAAGAATGTGATTCACACGATGTCACAGAGTATTGCATAATCAAGTCTTCATCTCCCATCATATTCTTCTTTTACTTTTTTTTTTTCGATTAAGGCTGATGCATAATGTTTAGTGAGGTCAAAGTGCTTTTTGTCACACCATTTGTCTGTGCGTTATGCTGTGTGAAATTGTGTACCATGTTTGACATGAAAATATTGTACTGTGCCCCTTTGTGCTTTTTTATCACAGGATAATAAACTAGTTTGCTGCGTCATGGAGGCTGGGTAGTAACTACGAAATTTAAGTGGGTGAAAATGTTTAATTTCTTTTCTTGGTTTGAACCAGGTTTCTACATGATAACCTCTTATGTGAACAATTTGTTGGCTTTCCTGTTTTTTTTCTGTTCAATTGCAGAATGAATAATATGTAGCAAGGTTGCCAGATTCTACAGGGATTAAAGCTTTATCTTCTGTGGGACAGTTGCGTAACGACACAGTTAAAAGGATGCTTTTTGATGTGATGCTTACTATTGCCATTTGACATTCCAGAAAAGAACAAAAATAGATCATCATTGTATCTATAGAATGATTCTTCTTTTCACCTGCTACATTCACAAATGATGAGAAATCAGGTTGTCCACTAGTAAAGTAACTGTGCTAGTGGTGAATACTCATCCCAAAATATTTGCTATTTCCATTCTCCTCTTCAATGCCATTATCATTTATATGCCTGTTCGTTGACATCACTGTCTGCTGTTGCTTATTGTGCTCCAACATTCCCTTTTGCCCTTCATTTTTGACACCTATAAATACCATTGAAGATTTCTTCTGTTCTTCCCCTTGTGTTTTCCCTCTTCAAATATCATTTCAGCAAACACACACAGCTAAGTGGTAGTGAGCTCAGTTTAAGTTTTTTGTTTTAAAAAGCAACTTTTCTTTTTGGTTCCAAAAATGTCCAAAATGTGAACTTCCAAGGTGAAATAAAAAGCCAAAGGTAGCATTACCATTGATAATATGTACATTTATAATGAATCTATCATATCTTCGAGAGACATACCATATCCACATTCCTTTAAAATCAGCATGTTTCTATGGCTTATAGTATGTAAATGATCTAATGTAATGAGTTCCTCAAGTTTATCTAATATTGGTCTGGATTACATTCTATAAGCAAAAGCCAGTTGAAAAGTATCGACTGGATTTGGCTGATATTTTTATCGTATTTTGACTGGATTTGATGCAAGTTGAAATTCTATCAGCCCGACCTAAATAGCAAGTTTTCTGTTCAAAAGAAATCCTCTGATAAATGTGCATTGAATGCATATTTGTGATGGAGCTCCTGTTCTCCAACCGAGTACCTCTGCCCAATACGCTTCCTAGCTGCTTGCCGGGACCCTGGAACGCTTCCGCTCCAGTTGCTGAAGCTTGACTGGGGTCTGTCAGAGGTCTGTCTGTCGACCAGGCTGCAGACAGCAAACAGAGAGATCCTGCAGACAGCAAACAGGTCCAAAGACTCTGTCACCGGGATCCCTACAAATCCACGCAGGACACCCAGTTCCAAGAGGCACTTACATACCCTTCTTTATTTTATTTTTTAAATTCTTTATTTTATTTGCACATTATAACAAATCGGCTTGAAACGCCACAATAGCTGTGACAAGCATGGTATAACAATCAACATAAAACAATTACATGGCTAGTGCTTGTATTGCGCATTTTATAGTTTTATAGTCTTGTATCGTTGTGCTGCAGACCTACGTGTAGTGGAGTACGAAGTGATGTGACGAAGGCCATACCTTCGTAGGTGTGCTCGGCTTGCCTTTAATGCTTGCCGGCGCTGCGGTGTCGTAGTAGTGAAACCACTCAATGTGGATAGTGCGGGTGGCAGCATTGTAAGCGTTGTGTGCTGTTCAAAAGGAGTGAGATTAGTGTCTTGCGACATGATAAGCATCGGTTGATACCCTGTAACCCTGGGTGGGGGGTGGAGGGGAGATGTACCAAAGGCCTGTTCCCTATCAGGGACTACTGTGTGGTGCCCTGTGACACAGGGCGCTGTGGGAGTGAAAACATTCTTCCGCCCTCATAGTGAGAGAGTGGGTGCTTAGTGGGTCGGTCTCGCTTAAACCTAAGGCATGGCCGGGCGGCAAAGAGTGACCAACATTAAGACAACATTAAAAAAAAAAGGAAGGAAATAAAATTTTAAGTCAACTTGTGCATTATGTCCAGTGTTATGTTCAGGAGTCCATATAGATGCGGACACAGTCCCATATTCTCCCTTCTGGTCTCCTCAGGTCGTAATCGCTGCGTAGTTCGCGGCATTGAGCTCTCGGGGGACAAACGGAAGAGACGTGGCGGGGTCACCCATCCCAGATGGTGCATTGGTCGGTCTTCGCCCCCCTGAAGGTAAGGAGTCCTTTCGCAGGCCCAACGTGGGCAATAGGTCGCGTGCGCCCTGCATGTCTTGAACGGTGTATTGGCTGTTTCCGTCGCTTACTTGTAGCGCATGTGGGCCCCTCCATTTATAGGTTATGGTTTGTGCGCGAAGTAGGGAAGTGAAGGGTTGGAGAGAGCGGCGCCAGGCCATTGTGGACCGTGACAGGTCTGTATAGAATGTGAGCGACATGCCCTCAAATATGTAGGGGGACAGGGTTCTGGTTGCGTTCATCACTGCCATTTTGTCTTTGTTGCTAGTGAAGCGTACTAACAGATCCCTGGGTAGGGTACCTAAGGCTTTGGCTGGCCGTGGGAGGCGAAACATCCCCTCTAGGATTATCTGTTTGGCATGCTTAGGCGTAAGGAGGGCTGTGAGGAGCCGTCGTACAAGATGGGGCAGCTCAGCCTCCGGCGTTTCCTCTGCTATGCCCCTGATCTTCATGTTCTTGCTTCTTCTTTGGTCTTCTAGTGTGGCAAAGTGTTTTTCAAACTGTATATTCTGTCTCTGCAGCTCAGAGACCTTTTGTTGTAACTGCTGTGTTTGTTTGGCGTTCTGGTTCGCGCCATGTTCTAGGGCGCCCATGCGGCCTGTCAGGCCTTGCAGGTCTGTACGTATCTGGGCCATGTCTGCCTGTAGAGCGAGCTGTACCCCAGCGAGCAGTTCTTTCAGCACCGCCCTGGTGACTGGGGTAGAATCAGCTTGTGGGGAAGATTGGCGAGGGTTCTGTGGGGCAGTTTTGGTAGCTACCTCTGGGTCTGCCATGAAGTCGTCCGAGAGGTCGGAATACTCGTCCGGGAAGGCGGCCATGTCAGGGCCCATCGCGCCCCAAGCCTGCCTCCAGAGATCGCCTATGCCGGCGCTGCGGTGTCGTAGTAGTGAAACCACTCAATGTGGATAGTGCAAGTGGCAGCATTGTAAGCGTTGTGTGCTGTTCAAAAGGAGTGAGATTCGTGTCTTGCGACATGATAAGCATCGGTTGATACCCTGTAACCCTGGGTGGGGGGTGGAGGGGAGATGTACCAAAGGCCTGTTCCCTATCAGGGACTATTGTGTGGTGCCCTGTGACACAGGGCTTGTCGGGCTTGGGTTTTTTCGTTTTTCGACCCATTTCTGCTTCAGCAGCTTTGGCACCCGTTTTGTCTCCGGTCCGGTAGGTTTGACCGGTATTATAGGGATAATCGTGTTTTTTTCGTCCGGAGCTCGGACTGTGTGCGGCCATTCAGTGCAGTAGCTTGGCTCCCCCTCCCCTTCTTTATTTTTAATCAGGATTAGCCCATATGCTAATAACAATTAGATTATTGTGACAACTCAATAAAAATAAAAATAGTCAAATCATAGCAGACAACATACAGCAACTTATTTGAACACAATTACATAATTATAAAGGGGTGGGGAAGACAATAATTTACAGAAAATAGCTCTCCTGCCTGCAGAATTAACAATATGCAAATCTACCAGAATATGCAAATTAGCAAGCCTTGCTATTCAGGTAGTGCATATCACTGTTGCTAGATCCTTGCAATCAACAGGTGGCACTGTACAGGCTCCACAGCCAAATCCACCTAGTTTATTGCAAGTATTAGCAAGACAGGAGAGCACACTAACATTTAACCCCAAACAACAACATTACACACACACACACACACTGTGCACCCACAATGGACAAAGGGTAACTTAAAGAAACAACAACAACAGTAATGCATAGCTGCCCCCAAAATATATCAATGTGGACTACAGATAGTAAAAAGCATATAGATGAGACATATATAAAAGTGCAAACAAAAGTTAGTATTACATTTTGAAAAAGCCCTAGTAGCGAAACGTGTAAACGGTTTTATTATTTGTGTATTTTATATAATTAAAAGGTTTTTTGGTTACTATTTGTGCCAATTATCTTTTTACATATTTTTCTATTTTTACCTGGCATCTTATCGATTTTATCGCGTGCTTACAAGTTTATCCGAGGTGGGGATCATACCAACACGCTGTTACCATAGTGCAGTTGGCCTGCACTATACTTGTAAGTACATTTTCATTTTTTAAACAACTTTATACTCTGTTAAACAGTGAGCACTATTAGCGGTTTTTATATATCCCTTTCCTGAGTGGAACATCATCCCCTCCAGAGGACAATCACCCATACATCCCATAAGCAGGGATCATTCCGCTGTATGCCTGTTGTACCTGAGCTGGCTATAGCTATTTTAAATGTGAGTCGAATATATATATATATATATATATATATATATCTATATATATATATCTTTTCCTCACATATATTGATCCATACATTCTATACAATTGGTCTCTTATCTTGTGTCTTCCATATCACGAGAACAATCTGACTACTATAAACAGAGAGGACACTACATCACCAAAAGCACCTTAAAAGACATAAATTGCCACCGTGCAACTTCTAATACATTCTTATTCTAGAGGGTTAAAGGGTTACCCTCTGCCAGGCCGCTGCCCATGTACTTTTTATTATTAGCACTGACCTCCTTTATTTTTTATAACTTAAACAAAGAAATCATTCAGATACCTAATTGAATTGCCCATCTTAAGCTCTTGGTGATGGTGACTACCATCACAATATTTATTGGACTTTTTGAATGACTAGCCCTGTTAGTCATTTAAAAAAAACAAAAAAAAACAAATAAAAGCATATGGGGTCACTATGACCCCCACAGTAGTACAAGGGATGTTTAAAAACCTCCCCAATGCCCCTGCCCATAATGCCAGTGAACACTCATGGTAATAAATAATTAACATACAGAGGATCACCCGTACAGGTCTCCCCATGTCCCCACCCATGGCCATTGGGTGGAGGCTTCAATTTAAAGATCACTATATACCCATCATGCCCCCATGGTGAAGCTTTGAATCAAAATAATAAAGCCCATGGTGGGGCACAAATGAAATAATATTGTAGAGGGGACATACTGTGCTAGTGGCCAGCAGGTGGGATCGATAATTAAATAAGTGAACGGCATGGGGGGGGGGGGGTATAATTTTACCCACAGTCCTCACCCATATGCGGTGGGTGCTCTAATAATAAAGAACAGGGGGATCAAATGTACTTTCCTCAGTCCTCACCAAAGGGCGGTAGGTGTGGTTCATATTTGCAAAGAATGACTGGTATAATATAGCCCCACCCATGGGTGGTGGTAAGAATTCTAATATTAAATGGGGCAACCTATAGTCCTCACTCAAACACCCACCCATGGACCGGGGTAGGGGCTACAATTACATATAGAATGGCCGTAGGCATGCCATTGTCAATCTCTCATAAAATTATGTCCACCCTCAGGGGCACCCAGGCTCCTATCCATGCCTGCCAAATAAATGTGCCCTACCTACCCTCCTCACCCTGATAATAGCAAAGGGTGGGGGACAATAAATCAAATACCCATGGGTGGGAGCTGCGGGGGGGGGCTGGGGGCATGAGGTCTCCATTTACTATCATTTGTGCCTCCACCTCCTGCCTATGGCTGGAGGCGAGGGTGGGGCAACAGCTGCCCAGTCACTAGCCTGTTTATTTAGCAATCTTGCACACACTTCTGGATACTGTAAGGCCACATTGACCCCCCACAGGCATTTTTTAAACAATTTGCCCACTGGCTGATAGTGCCAACAATGGAGAAACAATGGACAAATAGTTGACCAAAAAATCTTTGGGCGATCACTATTTTCATGGCAATTTATTTTTTAAAAATGGATAATTTAAAAAGCAATATATATTGGCTCCTGATAAGTCATTTACTGCACTAATTCAATCTAATTCAATCAATTCAAACTGATAAATGGCTTATCGAGAGCTGATAAACTGTGATAGTTGTTGGTATTGATTTTGAGTTTGAAAACCAGGAAATAAATAATTTGTTTTTTTTGTGATAATGCTGGACAAGAGTTCATAGGAGGTGGGAAAAAAAACCCAGACTAGAATGAGAGACTCTTCATTGGCAGAAACTCTTCATGATTAGAAGGAGTATCCTAGTCTGTCAGCTACAGCACTTGAAAGGGGGTCAATTTCCGTCTACTGTTTTCCTCTAATTTTATTTAATTGACTTAAACAAATCCTAATGAGTTTGCAGGTCATAGTAATAGATCATTTTCAATGATGTCAGGGAAGGACAGGCTGTTTCTTCATTAGTAATAATATTAGTCATACCCTAATTATATTTGTAGTGAATGTTTGCAGCAATGTTCTATGGATTTTATACATTCATAGATAATACGAGAAGATTTGACAGCTTAACTCCTTCAGGACCGCGGACTTACTAGGTACGTCCGACAAAAACAGTCCTTAAGGGTACGTTTGCGGCAAATCTATTACTTACCCAATCGGTGTTGTCCGGACCTATACTTATTGAGAACAAGGGTAATTGTCAGGAGGCTGTTGCCAGAAACTCCTGCCACTGTGCTAAGCCCCACCACGTAGAGCCTTGCTCATTGATTAAGAGCTTCAGGTGAGCGCTGTTAGTCAGTGAGCTAGGCAATGCATAGCCGGACAGGCATAGCTCAGTTGTACTAACCAGAGTTTTCTTGCAGGACCCTCTGGCAGCAGGAGAGGCAGTGATGCATGTCTATCAGTACCTATGTGTGCAGTTTGCGTGGG